GGCTTGACCGGTGTTTGTGTGCCTTGTCTGCGTGTGGCGCCTGGCTGCATGCGGTCACATGCATGGAAATCAACCTGCCCATTTGGATGGGGGATCAATCTCAGGCAGTTGTGTGCGGCGCAGACCATGTCTGTTGAATTTGTTTTTTGGCCAGCTCCAAGGTCTACGACCTCACTTTGGCATGCTGTGGATGTGACGGAAGTGCAAACCGAGTTGCACTTCTTTCCCAAGGGTTGGATTTGGATGTGTTCGGAAAAGCATGTGGCGCGCCGCTTACTTGCTTTTGCACCTTGCCGAGAAACTCCGCATTATCAACTAATGCCGTCGTGCAGCCCACGCTGATGTTGATGAGCGCTTAGCCCTGAACCTTGCGCCGGCATGCCATTTGAGGAGTCAAAGGCAAGCACTAAATGTTGTTCGAGCCCGAAGCTACCATAAATTAGTCATAGCTCATTTCCCTTGGCAGAATCCTGACGTATGTAGCATTTCTACACTCGACTGGGGGCCCGAATGGTGTGTTAGTCGTGGCATTTCTGCGACATTCATTGAAAAAACCATGAAAGTTGCCGCATGGGTCGCTCTCCTCGCTTTTGTCTTCGTTGCCACAGATCTGCAGGGTTGTGCGCCAGAGACCATGGATGACCTTGAGGCAACCACGAACTTTGCTTTTGTCTGGGCCGTGGTGGCCACCAGCATTGCAGGCTTGATATGCATGTGCGCATGCTGTCTTGCTGCTGGTGGGGGGCCTGACACTGCGTGGGAGACTTCGACTCCGATGTTTGTATTTGCCATTCTGTTCTTCTTGGCTTTGGCGATGGGTCCTTGGTTTGCGTACGCTAACCACGCGCAGCAGCAGCAGAGCTTGCAAACGTGCCTCGAGCTTCTGGACAGCCGCGAATACTGGTGGTCCATTCACAGTATCAGTTGCCCAGATGGGTATGTTGAGCGACAGGATCTACCCCTTCGGACTATCGCCTACGAGGGCGTAGATTCTTGTTGCATTTCCACCACCACGACCACCACAACCACCACGACCACAACCACCACGACCACGGCCGTGAGTGGCATCCTCTCGTTCTGCGCGTGCGATGCATTTGGCATGGACCCTGTGCAATGCGAGAGCGGAGCGGGCCGCAGTTGCGGTGGCCTCGGTGATCCAAACACATGCCTAAGCTTGGGGAGAACGCTATGCCAAGTTGGGCATGGTTGCCAGACAACCGCAGGCTTTGGCGAAGAGGCACTTTGCAGCCAGTTCGAGTCAAAGGAAGACTGCGAGGTGCAGGCGGCGTGCTATTTCCAAACCCCCAGCTGGGAATGGCGTTCAGGATGTCGAAGTGTCAATGAAAACAGCACAGCGTCCATGACTGCCTGTGTACCGATGTCAACACAAGAACAATGCAATCAACAGATTGTGTGTCAGTGGGGCATTGTGGTTCAACCTCTTTCGTGTCAAAACCAGGGTGCGCGCAGAGGATGTGTTGGCGCAGACAGGTGCCAAGGGTTCGCTACACAAGCGGAGTGTGAAGCTAATTCAGACATCTGTGGTTGGCAGGGGTTGTGCGCTTGTCCTGCGGAGTTCTTTGGTGACCATTGTGAAAAGGAGCGAGTGCAATTTCACGCGCACAATGGTCTCTGCCTCCTGAGGGAATCGAACACAGCTCTGTGCAAAGGGTTGGTGCTGGCAGCCAGTCTGAACGACCGTGAATACTGCAACAGCGCGCAGGATTGCACTACTTGGGACACAGTGAAGCGCATGGTTGGCATAATGTGGGAAGCAGAGCTTGGTGACATCATCGTGGATAGCATTGCAGTGCTGTTTTGCCTTCTCGCTATTCCCTTGAGGTGGCCAGAAGATGGCCAAAGCAAAAGCAAACACGTGGGAAAGTACTTGTTCTTAGCCGGCTTAGTTTGCTTTGTCGCCGATGTGGCCTTGGAATCGGTGCTGGTTCACTTCGTCGGAGGAGCGGCTGACGTCGTTGCGGAGCTGGAGGCGTGCGTAGCATGTCTTTTAAGCAGTATGTAAGGCTGGCTAAACGTTAAGATTTTTTCAGTCCCTTGCAAAGGATGGTGTGCATCTGGGTTTTCACGATGGCGACATCGCGTTACCAAGTCCGCCCCATCCCCTCCGCCCCACAAGCACAATCAGGACCCTACCTAGTGGTAGAGGGCAGAACCTCTTTCGGAATTCAGAATAAGGAAAAGCTTGAAGGGGCGAGGAGGCGTGCAGGGGATTTTGGAGGAGGAAGAACCCTTGCCCAAAATGCTTTCCAGGCTTCCAACAATTTGAAGGGGGGTCTTGAGAGCGGGGACCCAGCATTGCGACGTTATCATTACATGGCGTGATTCCATTGTGGTCAGGCAAGTTTGTTCTAAGGGTCCTTGCTTGCGAGATACAAGCAGTGATGGGGTTGGCTTGTTGCAGTATCGTATCCCTGCAGGGTGCTTTCTGTTTCTCCCGCGGCGATGCTTCCAGATCGTTGGTGCTGCTTGAGGATTTGGCGGGCACCATTGCGACGTTTGCCTGGGTGAACATTGCCCTGGCGATTGTCGGCGGAAGCTGTGACGTGATACAAGCTTTCATGGACACGAACCCTGGACTCATAGCTGTTGTGCTCACGGTCGTTGCGGCAGTCTCGGAACTTGTTCTAGGTCTCAGCAACTTCTTCATGAACACCAACGAGTTTGTCAGCATTATCAAAGAGATCGAGCTGGCCACATTGGGATTAGCCGAGATGGAGGAAGGGCATGCCTGCTACATGAGACACCCCCAACTGGACGAACTGCTTCCTGCTGAGGCTGTTGGAGTAGAGTGGATCCATCCTGGTCTCACCGTTGTCATGCCTGCGGTCTTGGCTTTCATGAGCTTTCTATGCGCCATATGCATTGCCTGCCTGCGTGCACCCTCCTGAAAGGCAGCACTCTGTGGTCATTGCCTGCCATTCACATAGCGTGGGTTGAATTTGAGCAGCCGTTTGTTTTGCAAATTGTTCCACTTATGGCCAGTCAGCGAACTTCGGGCAGATGCTGGCGTTGACCTATTGGTTTCACGCAAGGTCGGACTGCCGTGTTACGTGGCAGTGTGGCAGATCATTAAAGAGGTCTTTCATTTAAGGTACGACGCGCGAATGCGCGATCCTTGTTTACAAGCTGGCGCTAACGTGGCCGACTGATATTCATGTAGTATACATGTACCGTTCTGCCTGGCTGTTGCTTTGGCATGCTGTGGATGTGACGGAAGTGCAAACCGAGTTGCACTTCTNNCTAATGCCGTCGTGCAGCCCACGCTGATGTTGATGAGCGCTTAGCCCTGAACCTTGCGCCGGCATGCCATTTGAGGAGTCAAAGGCAAGCACTAAATGTTGTTCGAGCCCGAAGCTACCATAAATTAGTCATAGCCACTTTTGCTTGACAGCCCCTTGAGCTCCGTAATCCACAAGCTGCCCAGCTTAGAATTAGAGATGGTCGCAGGCAGCGTCTTCCAGGACCCTGGCACGTCAAAGTCAAAGCCTCTGCCTGAGGATCCTGAGTGTGCTCAGAGTATTTCCACGGTCGTGAAGTTGCCCTCAAAGGAATCGCTCGTGGAGATGTGATTTCGCGGGTCTGCCTCCATTGCTTGGAAGGGAAGTCGGAGTACACTAAGTAATGCTAAGTACATCTCAGTACTCCCGGAGCACGCCCAGTATTCGGTAGGACTCAAGGAAGCTCGAATCAGGTTCGACGCCCCGAGGGAGTTGGCATGCCTTTTCCCATTTAGCTGAGGCACGGGGGACATATTCCAGTTAGACATGATTTGAACTGGTAGCGACGCATGGCTAATACTGAAACGCCTGGCCAATGTCGGCAGACCTGGCTGAGCTTTTGCTCTCAGGCCACGGGCGTGTGCGCAAGTCTTGGGTACACACAGCCGCAGGAATTTCGAGACATTGAAGTTCCCACCATGTTGGCCTTCCCTAGTTGCTGTCAAGATGTAGATCATGGCGGCACTGTGAGAGAACAGGGTATTGATGCTACTTGCACGTGTGGGAACTACGAATTCAAGAACGAAGACGTGAAGAAAGTGAAGTCTGAAGTCCCTGCCAGCACAAAGTGGCATTCCAAGGTACAGGTTTTGTCTGGCCGGTTAGATACATGTAAGTGCATCGTGAAACCTGGACCAAATGCTGCAACTTTCAACCGCTACAGACTTCATGCCAGTCTCCACCAGTTTACTGAATCCACTTTTCAGAGTTTGTCGGCGTCAGACAATGCGGGTGGCATCCACAACAGAGCTCCCAAGGACCGAAACGAAATTGACATACAAATATACACTACAGCACAAACTCAGCAGATGCTACACCTGTCATTGCCCAGCTGGCTGGTGCACGGAGCAGTGGCTGCAGCTGGCTTCGACGAATGCCGGTGTACAGCAGAGCCGCCCAATGGACCCAAACATCAGCGCCAAGCCAGCTCCGATCCAAACCTATAACAGATGCCACATTTTGTTGCTGTCTCTTTGGATTGCATACCAAGCACACACCAGATGGAATGCAGATTCTTCAGTTTCGTGTGCCAGACAGTGACAGGTGTGGTGTCTGTGTGGTTTGCGCTGCAGTTGGCAGCCAATTTTGCGGTCCTGGGGGTCAGTCGTGACGTTATGTGCAGTCTTAGGCCCAAGCTTTGTGAGGTGATAGAGCGAAGAGTGACGTTTCTGAATGCTTTCGGCATGTCATTTGAAGCTTAGGGCTTTATAGCAAAGAGACGTACGAACCGTCTGGCACCACAAGTGACATCTCTCAGTGATTGGGCGTGTAGCTGACTTTTTGCTGGCAGTTTCGGCGGTGGGGGCGGGGGTAAGGGTTGGAATTGAGCCCTCATACTAATCTCAGAGAGACGTCACGCGTACAGCAGGATTGCCCTCGAATGGCTTCGGCATTATTGCTTGGTTGTTGGCTGTTGACTTGTGAAGGGGATTGAAGGTCCTGTGAAAAAACAGGCATCTTGTGAACGGCACCTGCCATTTGCAGGAGTAGGTAGCGTTCGTTTCAGTGGCCTGCAGTCATCCTGCTGCGATTGGAAATGGCCATTGTCCCCTGTGGTAGAAGTGAACTGTAGCAGCTCGAAGTGGTCATGCCGGAAGCTGAAGCCCCCATGACCAAGCATGGTTGCTTCGGCCATGCTGCACTGCCCACCGTCCTGTTATTTAGGAGTAGTGGCACGTGGGTTCCCAGAGTCCTAGGGCACTGTACATGAGCACGTCGCGAGTTTTTCGGGACGAGGAGCAGGCAGTGCAACTGTTGTGTAGAATCCTCGGAAATCTGACAGAAATAGAGGTCCTGATCGAGGGTGCTGAGTGTTGATCTGATAATGTTTTGACATGTATGAGCTGGCATTTGTGGCACTTGAGGCGACCTCTGAGGTGGTGATGTTTCACTTTGCTGGCCTGCAACACCTTGTCTTTGGACGTGGGGAATGCTGTAGGTGAGGCCAAGTCCAAACACTCTTGGCAACCGTTCTCTTTTCCGAACATTGTGCACACAAAGTCCAAAGTCCATATGTGCGGATACATGACATGCCTCGCACACTAAAGCGATTCCGGGGACTCCGACCTTCAACTTGGACTTGGTTCAGTGCTGATCGTTTCTTGCTTCACCTAGCTGAGCTTGCACGCAATGTCTTGGTTGAAATCGGCATCCGACTGAGACTCTGTTGGTAACCTGGGATAGTGCTTCGCTTAGTGAGCTCGGAGCCTATCTCAGAAGACAGTCATCTGCAATTCCAGTTTGATTGCACGGAACTGGGAGAAAGCGTTACATTGGCCAAATGTTGAATTGCCTTGCCACATCTGGGTGGTCGGGTGTTGTTGAAACAAGTACTGTTTGAGCGAGTTTGTACCATGCCGAGATGTTTCGTCACGTGCTCGGCTCAACAGCGAATCTAATGCATATCCCACGGAAAGCAAGCTGACTCACAAGTTTTAGCACGTACGACTGTGACCGTAAGAAGCAGTTGGCGGTCCGCAGGCAGCAAACATGTAACATCAGCGCGCGACTCACTAAATGGCAAAGTGCCCACAAAGTCTTCAACAGAGCATGGCAGCGGCAACCAAGTCTTTCGAGCGTTTCATCAAAACCCGAGTGCCATGGGAGCCAGTGAAGCAACTTTGAAGGCACGGTGAACTTGCGACATCTTTTGTGGCAGTGAAATCATATGTCACCGAGTCGCCGTTTTGCAATAGCTCTGTCACCCCGGAGCTATGATCCATGTTGGCGGTCGATCCAAAACCCCCAGAGTTGTATGATTGGTTTGAGTTGGAAGCTGCATTCTGTATGATCAGTATAAGTATTTAGCATGTGGGCCTGGCCGTATGTACGCAGCCGTTGGCCATAGTTGGTGGGTCTCATGAGCCGAACCTCTTTCAAATATTAAGCTTGTTCTAAAACAACACGTTTTGGGTTGTTTCGCTGATTAGCTTGGGTAGCCGTGGATGCACCTGTGAATTGAAGGCTCCAACGCCCCAGCGTTACCGCAGAGCTGGGGACCAAGTTGCTGTCGGTTTTCTCTGACATCTTGGGATATTTTCGTGTGGAATTTGAACTCATCAGGTTTGACTGCAGCGAAGTCAGCTCGGCTTGGGGCGGGAGCATGGGGAGTTCAGTTGGGGGCACATGTGCTTGATCTGTTTACCGGGGTTAATCTTTGCCGCCAGATCGCGAATCCTGACGGCACTGTAGCCAAAACCGTCTGGCTTTATTTCAGCTTACAGCTTCTGTCGTCCGCAAAGATCACGACAAAGGAGTTCATGGGCATCCTGAAGTACAGTTGACACTTCGACATGACTTATGTTGATCACGATGCAAAGGTTGAACGCTTGCAGTTTGCGGAACCTCGAAAACAGCCATCGGTCCCGGGGCATTCAGCAGGTGGTTGCATTCCGCACGACAAAGGGCGATGCGAAGGGCTGGAGCAGGCCGTCGCTCTTGGTTGCCGAACATGTCAGCACAGTCGAGTAGCGCTTTGTCATCGTTGCAACGCAGACTGTCCCGTTTCACCACTGGACATTATGAAGAATGTCATACCTGGTAAGATCGCTGGTGTTTATGGTCACGGAGCGGAACACCACTTACAAATCCTTCTCACTTCCAGTGCCCTGCCTTTGTTGTAACTTCAACTACGTGCCTCTGCGGAGCACGGGAAGGCCTTCCAGCCAAACCTTCACACGGTCTCACCACGCCCTTTCACATTCGCATTGCGACAGGTTGGTAGAGACAGGGCTCAGAGTCCAAGGATGAAGTCTGCCAAAAAGAAAAACCGGAGCGCCGGGTCGATAGCGGAGATGGAAAAACATTGTGAGACCTGCCTCCACAAGAGCTGGGGCCCCTGGGCCCCTGGGCCCCTTCCCGCCGGGCCGCCGGGCCGGTGCTCCGATGTTCGCCTGGTCTCTTTTGAGGATCCAAGAGCTTGCGCTTGGCCCAGATGCATCCGGTGGAGCGCAGGCCCCGCCCAGCTGGGGTCCATCAAGGATGTGCGTAGCAACTTCTGATTGTTCGACATGCCCCGAGCCTCACAAGTGCTGCACCCTGGCCTGTGCACAGGCTGCTGGGATCTTTGTGGCTCCTGCTCAGACGGTTCTAAGGCCAGGATCATCGGCATGTGGTTGCGGCCATGTGCAGCGTGACTCCGTGTTTGTGTGCTGGTTGCCTGAGAACAGTCACGGCTAAAGACGAAGCTTCGGATCCCGATCCCTGCACCCTGGCCATCCCGAGACCGTGGCTTGGCTTCGGTGGAAGCTTCACAGAAGCTGCTTGGCTCGCACAAGCGATGTGGACTGAGTTGCTTCAAGCCTGTGGCGCAACAATTGACCTCTGTTGTTTTTGCTTGGCTTTCGAAGGCTTCGACTGAAACCCTTCAAAAGATGAGCCCGGAGACGCGAGAGGAGGCTCGCTCGTTTGCTGTGTCAGGAGAAGAGAGCTTGAGGCCTTAAGGTTCGATCGGTGGCCATGTGATGCCATGTCGGGGTCTGGCAGCGTTCGAGTCTTTCGGAAGCAGCCCCGCAGCGTTGCCGCAGCGACGTGGCAGTCCACAGCCCACACCCGACACACCGACTAATGCTTGAAGTGCGTCTAACCATTTCTGTAGAGCCATGTTGCGGGTGATCTTTCGCTCAGAGTCACAGGTGCTGCGTGCCTGCTACGATCAAGAGGCAGCTGTCGGTCCTCCGGGATTGCAATTCGGGTCCTGGAAAGTACACACTTCGGCACTCTCGGGGCTTTGAGAACCTCGTAGTTGGCGCTTTGCTGATGCAGTTTGTCCCGAAGGCAAGAGATTTCATGCGGAGTTCATGCCCGGATCCCGAAGCTCTGGAGGTGGGCTTGGGCTACAAGTTGGCGCGAGTGCACATCGGCTCCTGCGACTTCTCACTGGGCAACTGGACCTCTGCCCTTGCCCTTGGAGGGTTGCCGTCCTTTGCTTCGAACCTCCTCTTGTGTGTCTAGGATTGAGTTTTAAGGTTTCGAGTGTAGTTCAAGTGACAATCAAGGTTGAGGACCTTGTGGTGACGGGCCGAGTCAAAATGGATTCGAGCAATGCCCGGCTTCTGCAGCCCAAGGTCCACTCCAACAAACCAAGCCCATCATGGCAGGTTGCAGGGTGGACCTCAGGCCACTATCATCTGAGTCGAAAGAGTCTTCAACTTGCCATGAGGCCCTCGCATAGAACAAAGGATCCCCAAACAAGACAGCATCTCCTCAGAGTTTCAGACAAATTTCCAAAATCTTCCGACAGAGACTCGTACAGTGGAAGGACCTGTGGGGATCTGGCGGAGGGTGATGAGGAACTGAAAGGCTTCAGCCTGGAGCACTACAAGGCCATGGCTTTCGAGGGTTGGGTCATTTGACTTCACTCATTCCGCCAGACCTTGGAAGGCCAGTATTTTGCCCGCCATCCACGATGCTGCGAAGGCTGATGGAGGATTCAACCCTGGATGAACCCGGCCCGAACATCACAGAACGTTTCAACGTGTCTCGAGTTCCAAGGGGGATTTCGCAATACGCAGAGCTGTGACACCGCCCCGCAGCTCTTGCACAGCTCGCCGGCGCGCCTCTGGCGATGCTCGCTAGCCCCTGGAGTCCGCCAATGTGGATGAAGCCGGAAGCCCAGAAAACCTAAGCAGGGAATCAAGACAAAACGAAGATTCAGCAAACCATCATTCATCTCGCTAAATCCCAATGTGCTGAGGCAGTCATACACGATGACTGGAAAATGTTGAATTGTACTTTTGAAGTGGCTTAGGACGAAGATGGAGTTCCACGGCGACGGGCACCTGAAAAAAGAGTGTGCCGGACCGAGCTGTGCGAGGGAAGCAAAAACAGATGCTATTTCGGTGTCACAGAGCCCTTCCTCGGCTCTGAGGCTACGGAGCTTGGGCACACCACTTTGTGCGATTCGTCCAGGAGTCGGACGAGAAGCACATCACGCCCCAACACGTCATGCGTTTGACAGTTTTTCATTACTTGAAGCAAGCAAACTTCTCAGCTCGTGAACACAAAGCCCCGTTGACAACTCTTGTATCGGTTCCTCAAGGCAGTTGTCCACGGCACTCCCTAGGCTGAAAGATCAGGTGGAAGCCTTGAGCACGGTCTGTTATGGATCTTGCGGCATGACCCGATGGATTGACGCTAACATTTTGGAAGATGTGCAAGGCCGTTCCGAAGACCGTTACTTCCAAAATGCCCACGGCAGTGGCATGCAAAATAGCAGCAACCGTCTGGTCGATATGATATCGGCTCAGGCGGTGCATTTACACAAAGCGCAATCTTGTGCCGTGCCCCTGATTGCTGACGCCATGGTTCGCTTCTTGCTAGTTGGCCTTGTGCGTCCTTCGCTCTTTGCTGGCGGCATGGTTATGTCCCTCCACATCCTTTGTACTTGTCTCAGTGCCGGTGCATAGTAGGAGATGGAAAAGTTGGATGTCCCCATCTGGGCCGTTTCGGTGAAGGCCTCAGCTGCGTAGGTAGTGTGCTCAGTGATTTTGATGGCGTGGCCTAAGCGGTTTGCTTGTTGAGGAGTTGTGTCTCGGCTGTTCTCAGATTTCAGAACAGGGTACAGTGCATGTTGGTGAGGTGCAGAACGAGCCTGAAGCGGCGCAGATCTGGGAATCCTGCATCTACACGGCGGAGGCTCGCAGAATCCGTGAAGGGTCTGGGCCCTGGGAAGTTCGGGCTGGGCCCAAAGCTCAAGCGCTGCTGAACTCTTTTCTCTCCCAGCCTAGATCACTACTGTGCTCGAAGGACTCTTCTGTTTTGAGACTCTACAGATGCATTCGTCATCGTGTGTGATGCTGCCACTAGTCAGATCAAGTTTGAGGATCTTCATGCACGTCCGGGAGTGTTTTTGACGCTGGTTACGGGCTCTCCTGTCTCACTTTTCCAGTCTCCCCTCTTCCAACATGCCATGAGCTGCCGCGCTGACCTAGCCCGTGCCAGGAGGAGAGGGATTTTGTGCGAGACTACTTGGGTCCCGCCCTCGAGGCCAGGGGGTGGAATGGAGTAACCTCAGACATCTCAGACCCACGTGAAAGGATCTCGCCGAGTCGCGTGAAATCTCTATGACGTGTTATCGGACTTCCAAAGCAGGAGTTTCTGAACAAAGCCTGCCAGGCCGCTGATCTCAGCAGGGTGAAGATCATCATCTGGGATCACAACCGTCCTCGGCCCGGAAGCAGGATTTCAGAATGCAATTTTTCGGGAAGAGCCCATGCTATCGGATTTTGTTGGATTTTTGGAGCTCCGAGCCTAAGCTCCAAGTCCTTGCAACAGCGTATGTGCGACTCCGACTCAAACAGAAGTGATGCGCAGGTGATGGCATGCCATGCCCTCAGAGTTGCAAGTTCCAAACGAAGTGTCGCCAGCTTGGAGGTTTCGCACCTTCTGGTTCAGTCATTTTGCATTCGCCAGAAGGGAGAGGGCGAAGTCGGGCGAGTGTTTGAGGGGCGGTCGACAGATCCCGCGCGGACGAAATCTTATGCCGAAGGTGGTGAGACCAAAAACCTTCAACTAGGAATCTTTGACCATCGCCTTCAAACCCCTGGCCATTAATGTCCAATATCTTTTTGCGTAGATTTCGTCTGGCCCTGCTGAGGCTCGCAATGGACATGACAACTTCTCTACTGAAGCGATAGCTGGCAAGCAGAAACTCGTAATCGTAATCTTTCACAGTGCGATAGTGCTCGAGCTTGAAGCTGACGATTTTCAGAAACTCGTAGTCTCACCCTGTAATGCCCGGGAGCATGGAACCGGCGTCGGGGGCGGAGCTCCGGCTTAGCATCAGAAGCTCGCTGTATCCGGCGCGACCCCATGAAACCTGTAAAACCTCGCCGTATCTTTCGACCTCTAACCGTAGTCATGGCACCAAACCCTCAAGCCGAAACGCCGAAGCTGGCACAGTGAGAGGATCGTCCAAGTTAGAGCCAAGGTTGGAGCGGGCGGCCGTGGCATACGCAGACGTCGAAGCCTCGAAGCCACTTGGCTGCAGGGAACTCCTTTGAAAGTGTAGTTTTGCGCGCCCCCAGAGTGCCTTGCTGAGTGTGGCCGCGTGCTGGGTGCAGCACTGGTTGACACCCGTGCCAACTTGTGTGTTGATCCAAGTTATGCGCTTGGTTCGCTTCCGGTCTCGGTGCTTGCGCGATGATCGCATGAGCCGGATGTACTGGTCTCCACGCCACTTCCCCGCTGTACGCTTTGTGGGTTTCGGCTTGCGGGCTGGGAATAAAGGTTGAGGGTTTCGAGTTGTCGTTCTGATTTTGGGTTCACGTGCCGCTGTTGACTTCGATGGTTTCGTTCTGGTACAAGCAGCCGATGCAGGTACATCTGGGGTCTCGGCTACCACTGGTGCGCCACGGGATTTTTTTAAATCTGGGGCTTTGAGGCATTCGGGAACGGTGCGGCCGCATTGCCACGGTTCAGCATTGTTCAGATTGGCATGCACGGTGGTATCGATCCAACCGGACCCAACCCAAGATGTCTGTCTTCTTGCGTACCACATGATCTCTTCAATGCTAAAGACGTGCAACAACATGTGGATCAAATGCTGTTCCGACATCATCGGAGTTTCAACCGTCTGCGTGCACGGAATCTTGGCGGAAGCCTTGCCTTGGTTTTCGGGGAAATCTGAAGTTTGTCAAGCCACCGGAGCAGAGCATAGAGTTGCTAGAGTTGCTTCCTTACGATCGCTGGCTTTAGCCTCTTTGCGTCCAGCTGCCAAGCACGGCACCGCTGGCTCCAGCATCGTAACCATCGACTCGAGGTACGGAGATGCACGGTATGAGACCTGGCCCGAATGCTACGATATCGTCTACGAGGCTTCAAGCACTTGCCCACCTAACAGCCTGTGCTCATTAAGTCTTTTGCCAAGTCGAGGTTCGGCGCGCTTGGCCTTGGTTCCATAGAAATTTCCAACTGTGTGTTTCTTTCGTGCGGGGTTGGTGATGGCTGGGAGAGTTACCGAGTTCCAGTCGAAAAAAAGGTGCAGGTCCTGCAGGCTGCTCGCCGCCGAGCGACATCGTTGGTAGGTCGTAGCCGCTTGTGGGCTCGTCCCGGTGGTGCCTCTTCTTTTTGTTCCGCTCGACCGGCTGCGTTTGCTGGCTCCTGCGATGCGTGCATGGTATGAAGGTTCACAGGATAGATTTGGGACTGGGGAAGGTCTCCTTAGACTGCTGCAGCAAGTTGCGGGGGACCAGGGGTGGTAAGCTCTTTCCGTTCAATACATCCGATGACATCCGATGCCTTGTGCTCTTGTAAGACTGTTTGCAGGACCGCAAGCGTGGCGGGGGCTCCGTCCAAGAGCTCAAAGCCAGGCCTGGGCGGAGAGGAAGGGACCGAGCGGCTTTGGAGCTGCCGGCCTTCAAAGATTCTGGTCTGCTACAGAGCTTGTCGACCTCCGTGATCCTTGATGCCTGCAGGCTGGGTTTCGAGAATGTCCGGCGTGTCGCCGAGCTGGCCGCTTAGCTTCGGCAGCAGTAGGGGAGCTCAGCAGAAAGATTGAGTAATACCACGCGAGCACGTTCAGCCATTGGTGCACGTGGATGGAGCTGATGCAAGTGAACGGGGTCCCGGAGTCCATTGATTTATCTGGCTCTGCCCGGCTAAGGTTGCAACCGGACAAGCACATCATCTTCACGGAGGGCTGCCAGGCCGACAGCTGCAGCCCTTGCCTTGTCTGCAGTCTGCCGCATGCAGGAGCTCTCGAACCGAAAGTTGGACGAGATGCTTGGAGCCGGGGGCTCTTAGGATGGCCGAGGGCACACGCTTGAGCACCCTCCACGATCTGACAATCAGTGGGCTCAGGTTTGGAAAATTGGCGAGAGGTGCCCCAGCGCCACGTCGGAGTCAGGGACATTGCAGATTCCATACCCTGTGAAGGTACGGCATGAACATCATCAACGACATGAACCACGGAGTGGAGCTCAGCGCTCTATTGGTCGCTGCATTTCCGCTTCTTCGTGCTCCCCAGCAGTTTTTCCAGTGGTTCTGGTTCTACTTGCCCGCGGCGCCGTGTTGGAAGCCTCGAGCCGGAATAAGCCGGACGAGCTGAAAGTCAGACGTCAGGCTGCGAAGGCTGGATCGACTGGAACCTGTGCCTGGACGAGCAAGGACTGGACGGCTGAAAGATGTTTGGCATGTAACTTCACGGCATGCCGCAGAAATGGAAAAGGCTGATTCAAATCCAAGTGGTCTAAGAGAGTTTGCAGCATAGCGTAAGACACAAGACAATCCCATCTCCCAACTGAGTCCTTGTTGTCAGGTGGTCCCAACCATGTCGGCAACTTTTGCTGCGACCCCGAGCTTGTCTTGAGGGTCAACCACTTGTCACTGGTGAGCTTGAGAAATGTCTGCCGACTTTGCACACCCTCGTCGCAGTAGCATCACTGCGCATGTGGAATAAGGTCGTTAATGTCGATTGAACAGGGGAACAGAGTAGACGTCATGACTCACAAAGGCAATTTGTGGCCCTACCTCCTATTGAGTTTGGTCGTTCGACGTTGAGCACTGAGGCTCAGCTCCGATTATCTGCGACACACGCAGCGACGAAGTGCTCCGGCAACCATCTTACTGGCCCGGGGCCTACTGTAGTGGCGTTGCGGCGAGGAACGATCGGCCCTTGCATGATGATGTCGTTTGCCTTTTGGCGATAGTCATGTGGGACGAACTGGAGTTCAGCTTGTGCATGACAAGAAGATAGGCTGATATCCTTCCTTTGCATCCGCCTCTTGGTCAACCTGAGTGATGCCCGGACTCTCATGTGTCGTTGGCACGATTTCTGAGGTATCTTGGTCATTTTTCCCGCTACATTCGCCCTGGCGCCTGCCGTGCAGTGAGCAGCACAAGCCGGGACGTGCTTGAGGCTGGGTTGACAGCCAGCTTCTGCAGTATGCTGTCTCACTTCAGCAGTCATGGTCACATGAATCACGCCGTACCTCATGGCTACGTGCAGCTGCCGACGTCATTTTTCAGGTGACGTCTTGGGTAAACCCCGACGGAAGCACGAGCCTGAGTGTTCGAGCCTTCGCTTTCTCTGGCTGTCTGATGGTGTCTGCTGTGAGCTTTGACCCAAGCTGGGTGGAGTCGTGTCGCTGGCGGGTTTCTCCAAGCTCCGAGCAGTGACGAGCCGTGATTGCTTCGAGAATCCTACATGCTTTCACAGCAGGACCCTGCTCCAGCCCTTCTGCAGGTTTGGCCGTCGTGGTCATGAATCAAAGTGCGGAGGACATCGAGTTTTGGCTGAAGGCCAGTCATGGACAACGTTGTAATAGGGCTTTTGTTTTCTTTTTGACTCTCCCATCTGTCTTTTTCCGACTGATTTCATGGCAGGTGCAGGGATCAGGTGCAGTGCGCACCGAGGCAGGGATTCTTTGAAGGTTCGTTCGTTCGTAGTCCAGTTTAGGGGTTATAGATCAGCGTGGGCGAATTTGTCTTTCTGCAGGTTGTGTGGGCTTGACATAGGCCACATCCCATATACTGCAGTGTGCAGGAAGCTTATTTACAGAGACCGATCGCTTTCTGCTCTGAATCCGAATCTACACAGTGACAGTTCCATTGTAACAAGGAGTCGCTGAAGCAGGGCAGCGTCGTGTCTTGTCAGACGATTGCAGTGCTCCGCCCACTGATTCGTAGGTTCCATCTCTCCAAAGGGTGTAGGAAGTATGAGGGTATTGCACTTGTCTTATGGCTGTGCTTTGGCCGGCTATAAGATTTCCAGTGAAGGCGGAAGCGGAAGTTAGTTCCCGCCGCAGGCCCCAGCGCGATCGATCACGACGTACTTGGTCGATGACGTCGAGCCTGCCGATGTTTAGACGCTGTTCCGAGACGTGTGGAACGGCGATATGGCGCTCCCCATGGCGGTGATGCGTTAGTCGCAGAGGGTTGCAGCTCAAAGAAAGTGTAGCTGAAGCCCGTGCTGTGGCTGCTATGGTTCAAAACGAGGTTCAGCGCAACTTGCAGAGTGTGGCTGTCTCTGAGCTGGGGGGGCCGAGCTGGACAGCCTCAAGTTCACCTTGTCTTCGGATCTTCTGCTTCTTGGTGCCTCGGCCTTTCGGCCTTGAGAGAAGGCGCACTGGTTGCAGCTTTTGGGCTCGAAGCCGGGCTTGAACCGGTGGCCTCAGGCACTAGACGTTCATGGATCCGTGTTTGCACGCACACAGATAATGTTCGCATCGTCTCAACGTGTGTATACATACCTCTACTGACATATAACAATCTGTATCTGATATGTGTATGCTTTCCACATTGAGTCATGAACCTGCTTTCGGAAAACGACGCGGTAGTTTCGTCTAGAGCAGACTGCAACTGACCTGACATGGCTGAAGCAAGCGACTGGCGCATGCTACTGTGCCGAGTGCGTGAGGCATTGCAGAGGGCACCAGTATCCACGCTCGAGGCTGCCCAGGTCGAACTGAGAAAGATGTTGGCGGAACTGGTGGTCCGCTGTGGCAAGCCCTCGGATGAAGCTGAGATGGATGCTGCTAGACTGCTGCGGTCACGTTGTTTGTGAGTTTGGAAGGCTACATTAATAGTCGCAGCTTTGCGTTTCCGGCCTGCCTGGTGCTGGAGGCTGCCATCGCGCACGAAATGGGGCTCCAGGGCTACCACGTGGAGTCCGCGGCGCCCGAGCTGGACGACTCCGCCCTGGTGGCGCAGGCAAGGCTCCCAAGCCACGAAACGGCCCCATGCCACCATCACTAGGAGAAGTGCTTCGCGATTGGAGCCCTCGTCAGCACAGTGGTGCGTTTCGGGTGAGGAGCCGCAGATGCACAAGCGGCGCCGCCTCACGGGCAAAACGACTTGCGTAGCCTCGTCACGGTTGGAGCTGGAGGAGTCAAGGAAGGAGGGCAACCTCCCAAGCGACGACGCGAGCGAGCATGACGAGGCAGGGTACCCCGCTTCCTTTACTGCTCCGCTGCTTCCAGTCTCATTGCCAGACCCCATGGGTTGGAGTGAGGTTGTCTACCGTCTCCTTTCTCCGAGACAGGTGCAAGCAGCAGCAGCAGCGCCCTCATCCCCAGGCCAGTCCGACGATGTGGGAAAATTGGGTGGCACGGAAGTGAATTCCCCCTACATGGGCGAAGAGGAGTTCTTGTCCTGTTTGCACTATCGTCGCCGGTTCCAGGACGAGGCATGACACCTTCTGAGCGTTGTGAGCTCGGAAGGAGCGCGCCTCTTCACCATTGCCTGGGCTTGAAGACTGCGAGGACCCTGGGATTTAGAAATCCAGAAATACACCACCGCTGCACGCCCGGTTCGGCTAGGACCCCTTGGAAGAGGAGACGATCTTCGTCAGCCGGAAGGCGGAGCTTGGCGTTCCCTGAAGCTTGTGAACACGTGGGCGAGCAGACCCCTCGAGCCGGGATGCTAGTGTACCGGTCTTGTGGAAGTGTATGTAATGTTGCCTCCATTAAAATGGCTTGGTGGGCCGAAAGAGTGCCACGCTGGTCGTACGAAAGACTAGTTCCGCTACTTCAAAAATCGTCACCGTTCTGAGCTGAAACACAAGATCTGTCTTGTTGGTTCTACTGCTTGTCAGGGAGGCACAGACGAGGTGTCCGCATTTTTGTCAGGCTTGTCGATCATTGGTTGCACTGCTCGGAAAGATCTGTCGGTGTGCTTTGCATAACCAGTGTGTAATCAGTGGTTGCCTTCTGTAGGGATGCTTGAACTGGCACATTCTGCCGTTGCAAGCAGTTTCCTAGCCCACAGTAGCTGCATCGGTCCGTTTCTGGAGCTAATCTGCACAGCTTGGCCGGGCTTGGCTTCCCACTCACTCCGGTATCAAACGAGCCCGAGGCATTGTTGGCTTTGCAAAGCAGAAGTTTGAACAACGAGTCCATTTCCAGCGACAGCATCTACCGTCTCTTCGATGCGAGCGCACTCCGGGATGGTGAGGCGTGAAGGGAGATTTCTCTCTGCAAAATAAGCGTGTGCGACAAAGCCACCCGTCGGCAACATGAGCCTCTCCAAGTAGATGTGAGCTTCGTGTGAGAGAAGTCGCTTGAAGTAAAGGTCTACGCTTTGCAACGTTCGCTCCACCGTACCTGCAAGACAAAAGTACCAGCTGCTTCATCGCAAGGCAAAAACGTTTACTCCGGGGATGGATGCGTGGTGAACTCCGCGAGGCATTGATTGCTTTGGATGCTTCGCAGCTGTTGGAGCGCTGGCCAGCAACCGCTGCAGCAGGCGTTGAGGCACCGATTGGTTTCAGCATCCGCGCCTTAAGCAAGAAGCGCAGCCCCTGCCCACCACCACCGCCGCCACCACCACCACTACCAGCACCAGGACCAGGACCAGGACCACCAGGACCACCAGGACCACCAGGACCAGCAGCAGGAACGGGACCACTGCGCTTCTGCCTCCTTTCGATATCTTACATCCGGGGGTCAATCCTTGTCCCAGACTCGCACTGATTGGCAAGCGGCGGGCCTTACCCCAGCACTGCTGACCATTGCTAGGGATTTGCCAACCACACAAGAGCCGAACGAGACACAAAAATGCGGGCGGGACATCAGTTCCACACGTCTACTCCTCCTTTCCTGCTACAGCTACGCTCCTACCACCATCACTTACTGCTGCTACTGCTACTTCCACGAGTACTACCGCCTTGTTCCACTCCATTGTACGAATCACGCTTGCGCCTGCAACGGGCTCCGACTCAAAGGCGCTGCTGGCCTTGGGGATGACGGAGACTGTGCGGCGGATTCTTGGGGCGGCAGCGTGTACCTCTGCCACAGTCGTGATGAGATCCGTGGAACATTGCAATCTCAGGGAGCTCGGTGAGAACTGAACAGCTAAGCAAGAACAAGAGCTAGCATCAAAACACGACAGGCACAGACATGACTTTCCAAACAGGTGCATGCAGGAGCATCGCATACGAAGCATAAAGCTTCATATGTGCATACGTACATACATACATACATACATACATACAGACATACATACATACATACATACCAGATATACCATACATAGCACACATACCTTACATACTATACATGCCATACATACTATACTATAAATACTATACTATACTATACTATACTATACTATACTATACTATACTATACTATACTATACTATACTATACTATACTATACTATACATACATACACATACATACATACATCAATACAATACAATACAATACAATACAATACAATACAATACAATACAAACATACATACATGCATACATATATTACTTACAAACATTACTTACATACAGTACATAAATGCATACCGTACATACATCCGTACCATACATACACACATACATACATACATACATACATACATACATACATACGTTTGTGTGTACATGTATGCATGCACAAACATACGTATGTGCATGCATGCCTGCATACAGACATACATATGTACATACAAGCATGCATGCATACATGCGCACTTGCCTTCAAGACGTTCAGCAGATGGACATGCAGGAATCGTGTTCGCCAGCCATGTGCAGATGTAGTGGCAGAGTGGCTATACTATATAGCGCAACAACATTGTCCATGCAAGCTGCGCAGACATGTTGGTGTACTAGGTTTGCGTGGCACTATTCCCTAAAGATGTTCCCCGTAGACATCCCGTTTTGTCATGATCCAGGCAACATCACAGAAGAGGGCGGGGAAGAAGAAGAGTGTGAGGAGGACGATTGTTTCGAGGAAGCGCAGAAAAGAGCACCTTTGAGCTTGATGTTCTTGAGGTCTGTGCAGCTGATGCAGGGCACCAGCTTTTACACCGTCAAGATTAAATTGGTGGAGTTAAAATCACTCTGGTTCTTAATAGAAGGCGAGGCTGTCTGTGACGAAGGCTTCTCGGATCTCAGCGTTCTTCCATCCCAGCACCCGTCAGGCAATCCCTTTGTCCAGCCAGCTGCGGCATCCACGCATTCTGCTGGCCTCGCAGTCTTCGGCTCAAGCTTTGCAGCCCCGAGCTTTCGAAGGCTCCAGGCAGGGCGGCCAGCACAAACTCCGGAGGTTGCGATGGATTGACTGTTTTCCCGGGTGCGCTGCTTCAAGTTCAGGCTGAATCAAACGAGACTGCATCGCCCCGGAGGTCATGGATGAGGAATACGATGTCATCGTTTGCGGCACGGGCTCCGGGCCAAGACAGAAGCTTGCAGAGGACATGTATGTAATATCACCTGGGGCGGTGCCGAAAAGGACCGCATGTGGTTTGGGTCCAGCGGAAAAGTGACGCAAGTAGAGTCCCGTGATTTTATGGTGCGCCGTTTGCCCACGTTTGATCCTGCTTGTCAGGGCCATAGGTCACTGGCTCTCAGGGATCCGCTTTTCAAACTTCGGCCTGGTGGCAAGGTAGCCGTGTTGACTTGACATTCGTCCCCGGCCATGAAGTTAGCCTTCAGCTTGGAGCCGGAAGCTCTCTTGCACAAGCCAGAGTTGAACATCTTTAGTGACTTTAGTGACTCAGCCCTGCCGCTGGCTTCCCAACCCTCGGAAACTCGCAAACATTGTGGCCATGATCACTGCGCACTCAAACCATGACGTGCCCGACGAAAGCAGTGGATGCCAAAGAGCAGCTGCAACTGCCACTCAGCGCGGAAGTTGGTTTGGTTAGCCCTTCCATGACCAAGCCTAGGGCCTGGCTTTGATCCTGTCGGAAAGCCTCTGGTGGGTGGTTAGCCGTTGCAAGGAACTTTTCGAAAGGACCTGCACCTTGAAGCCCGAAACCCAAGTCCGGCCGTGCGTCCTGAACAGGTGATATGGCCCTTGCAAGCCGGCCACCGAAGGCACGACTGGAGTCGCCATCACACGCGATCACTCCTGGTGGGACGCTCTGGCTCACAATGGTCTCGAGGTTAGAAATGTTGACCGTTCGCTTGCACGTGACCCGCATGTTGCTGCACAGCAGCAGTTGCGTTTCGCGTGCAGCTCAGGCAGCTTCGGCCGTGCTGGCGGCCTGAGCAATGCCTCTGCCTTCGCTGTGCCGGCTGGGCCTTTCTGCAGTTGCTTTGACGGGAGTTTCGCCGACAGCGCTGGGCGAGGAGCCGGTGCTGCAGCCCGGAGAGCATCCGAGTTGGACTGTTTGAGGGACTTTCTTTGGATGCTTTGTCGGTCAGCTTCGTGTCCAGGGTTTCATGGAACTGCGCTAGTTCACAAGACATCTCCAACTTCCGGAAAGCATACATTGGTAAACGAGTCTCTTTCGGCCCTGTAAAGAAGCTGCTTTCTCAAGAGTGTGATGGTTTGCTGCACTCGAACTCATCAACATCCAGCATGATTGTTTTTCTGCTTGGTCGTTCGGGACTGTCATGACTTGTAATCCGATCCACGCACTTGAAGACGGGAAAGGGACTGTTGCACTTGCAACTCAGTAGTGGGTCTCCTTACTCCTTCTATCGCGCACTAGAGGTACGGCGGCTTCATTACCGCAAGGAAGGCGACTGACCGCCAAGTTCGTGCTTCGGTTGACAGCATAGGAGTGTTTCCAAAGCCTGCAGGGTGGTGAAGGTCCTTGACATTGGCAGACAGTTTGTTTTTCTGCAGGTTTCGCTGTGACTTATTTTTCTTTACTTGGCTTCGCCTTTGGGACAACGCCGGCAGTGCACTCCTGGAAGTTTGGGGTCTGAGCTTCTGAGGATTCTGGAAGAAGCTCACGGCCGAAGGCATCCCTCTGGTCGCAACGCGGGTGCGGGACTCCGCCTACCAGCGCATCCGCGCCCCGGACGAGCTGTGGGTTGACGGTTGCACAGCCGAAGTGGCAATTTCGTGGAGTCAAGGGGAGGCGGATGGAGACGCAGCGCCGATTCTGAAATGTAGGGCACGGTTGATGTTTCACAGTGCTGGCACCCACCTCTCTTGTCCTGCGCGTTTCCTCTCCGAGCAGGAGGCTGCAAACGAGAGACAGCCCGTAGCCGCCGTAGCCGTTGGGAAATGATCGCCCTGCGCAATTCCCGAGGTGGCCATGCAGTGGTTGTCAAGTCGCTTGGCAGGGAAGCAGCGGGCGTTTGCAGCCTCTCGATGATGTTGGTTGCCAGGCATACAGTGAGCTTGAGCCGGATTCTTGCTGTGGGTGTTTGATATGTCAGCCAGGGCAGGAGGCCAATCCGAATAAGTCATCGTGTTATTTCAACAGGCCTCAACCGCCAGCTTCTGCCTGTAAGCTTGCACCCTGGCCCAGGCAATGCGAGTCTGTGGACGCTGCAGCTCGGCGTTTAGTGGGGTTTTGGACTGGGCCTCGTCCAGGCGAAGAGGCATGCTACATGATGTCAATGTAGATATTTTTACGGGCGTTCTCTAGGTTGCAGACTTCCTGTAGAAAGTTTCTGGCTCGAGCTGCACAGTTGGAGTCCGAGCTTTTCTCCTTCTTGGCCACATTCTGTTTGTGATGCATGGTTGCTTGCCCGGCAAGGATCTATGCCTGATCATAGAGGACCGCAGTGCCCAAATGGAGTTGCGATCTTTTGCTTCTTCTTTTCATGTTGCTATGGGGCTTGGACGAAGTCGGCATGAACGCCGACGTGCTTCGGCTTGGAGGGTGTCGCTGACCGCTTACTTCGACAAGGATCCAGCTTCAGCTACTACCTGTAGCACAGGGTCCACAATGAGAGACCATCTCCAAGACCATACAGCGAAAGGGTGGGACATTCAGGACTTAGGGGGTGGAGGATTCGCAGAGAAGCTTTGCTGAGTCGCATCGTCTTTCTGGAGCCTTGACTACGTGCAGGACTTCGTGGATTGGCGAAGCGGTTCCTTGGCACGCAGTATCCAGGCAGGACGGCTCCGTTGCTGAGGGCATGTCCTTTTGAGTCCATGCCTGGGAAGGAGGTCGTCAACACCGTGCCAGACTTTGACGTCGCCATTCTTGGACGCACCTCGGAGCGACGTGCTTCAGCTTCGGGAGGCATTTCGGTTGCGCGATCTAGCAGCTGAAGGCGTGTTCACGAGATGGCGAGGCTTGCCAAGATGTCGAATATTGAGCGTAGCGGCATAGCACATGCTCGCAGTGTTCGTCCTTCGCTATGCGAGCGTCCTAGTTTTCAGCATGCCCTCAAGAGGCAACGACCAAGAGGTCCGATGTGCGGACCTTGCAGCACGGCCTGACTTCAGAGTGTCTGGGACGTGTGGGAGGAGTCCTAAGCTGAGAGCTGCTGTCTTCAAGCTTGCAGAGTGAAAGGCTGCTGATGCTAGGGCTGCTCGGTGTCTCGGGCCGAGTCGAGGAGCCGGCTTCGGGAAGCTTCGCTCGAGTGAGATGCTCTCCCATCGCGAACTACGCCTACGTCGTCCATCGCAGGCACAGAGCAACAAATTCGCTCTTTGGTGGTGATGTCCATCAGTGTCTTGAGTGGTTCACTGTAAAGGGCGGTGCACGGCGCATCTCCGGCAGTGTTGGCTGCCGGATCTCTGCGCATCTCTGGGCGGTAGATCACACATGTTCCTGGCCAAACACAAAAACGACAAGACGCACTTGAATGCCGCTGGTGAGGAGCACAGAGAGGTCCTTACTTTCAAGGTGTCTTTGCGCACAGAAGGACTCCAAAGAGTATCCAACGTCAAAGCCACAAAGCCAGAAAGCTTTGTGCTGTTCTTCGAGAGCTGACCTGCTCGGCGCGTCCTGTGTGATGCTGGCAAGCTTCGCTAGAGAGAGAGACGTTGCAGGTACTTCCAGGCCATGTTTGAAGCTCTCAACTCGCCGGGCGAGATCTGCGGCCTCCCGGCTGAGCTACGAATACCCCGCAATATTATGCCTGCTCCCTGGGATCCGAACACATTCTCGCGCTCAAGTTTCGATGGACAATCACACGTTCCGCTTACGGATTCAGGCTACCACACAGACATCTACTTCGGCACTGAGCAGATGTATGCTGCTTGGCACCGCAGGAGCACCCACCCGATTACAATCAGCTACCAGTCCACGTCACAACGGACACATTCCATCACAGTTTGTGTCCAGGTGGGATGTTGTTCGTGGGAACCCCAGGCTGTGGATCCCAGCAGCCGCTGGTACGTGAAGTCACCGCTGCCGGTGCGTGTGCCGGGAACCAAGGGCTTGAGGTGCTGGAGGTTTGCGGCGTAGTGAAGTCAGTTCAGCAGACCCGCCCTGACTGCCGGCATGAAGCTATGCTTCCATCGGACGACAGACTCCGGCATGGCAGATTCCAGGACACTTGCGCCGAAACAGGCACTCGCCAAGAGCCACAAGCGGGAGCCTTTTGGTTCGACTCTAATTCGTCAGCTCCGGGTACGTCTAGACCAACTGTTCTCCAGATTCGCTGGGTCACCAAAGTATGCAATTCTCCGTCCGGGAATACAGACTTAGGAATCCGTCCCCCATCGGCAGTCCGCAAGGATACTCTGCTGGAGACTGAGCCATGAAGCAATCGTGCAAGACGTTGGCACAGGCTGCCTCCGCCCAGCCCGAAAACAAAAACGGAAAGGAACCGGAACCATTCCAGCAGCTTCAAGTCCAAATCCCAGGCGCTGGCAGCGTGCTCCCTCCCCGGGCGACTTCGCGAGTCGCTGCGCCCTGGGGGCGCGCTCGTCGCGGCCGGTGGTTTTGCTGCATCCGATGAGGCCGACGAGACGTGGACGCTGTTTCGGACCTGGGAGCGATCTGAAGACTCAGTCATGAAGCACAGTGACGATGTAGGGACTTATGAGAAAGCCTGCTCTCCACAAGATGAAAAGTTCGGAGCCTCAAAGATGGAATCAGGGCCGGTGGCACCAGCCTTTGTGACCTCGCTTCGCAGTGGATCGACGTGGGCCGCAGAGGTGGAGCGGGATGGCTGCAGTGGAAGCAAAAGTGTGTTTTTCATCATGCGCTTAATTAAGAGCGGAAACAAACCGCGACAGCTTCATGTAACGCAGCTTTGCGGACTAGCCTCAAGCCGTATTCCGCTAGTTTTGCATATGCCAGAGAGGGGGAGTCGCTTCGAGCGGATGTGGGGAAGGATGATGTTTGAGAAAATCTTATTTTGTCTTACTTTCATCTAGTCTTATCTTATCTTACCTAGACTTTATCTTGTTTTATCTTATCTTATCTTATCTTATCTCAATCTTATCTTATCTTATCTTATCTTATCTTATCTTATCTTATCTTATCTTATCTTATCTTATCTTATCTTATCTTATCTTATCTTATCTTACCGTTGCGTCAGACGTCAAAATCAATGTGCCGCACAGTTGGACAGATGACGGATTTAGCCTCGTGCGTCCGGCTGCCGGCATCCAGCACTGTTGCATGATCCCAGGTGGACAACTGCCGGATCGACTCGTTGCAGGCTTTCCGCGATGCCGCGGGCATCTTCGAAGCGATTTGAGGACGTCGCAGTCGAGTGAAGGGGCCGGGGTGTAAGAAAACTCTCACTTGCTTTGTCAAGCACGACAGTAGGATCAGTGGGGGGGGGGGGGGGCAGGATGAAGCTGCAGTCACTACGAATAAAAAATAAAGCAAACTTATGCCTTTCAGGAGAGGACACCGCTTCGGTCCAATCGTCTGAACTTCTCAGCCCTCCGTGCTGAGGCGCATGGCCCTTTGCACCAAAGCACCAGCTGGATTCAGGGCAGGTGCAACCATCAGAGCTTGGGTGATTGCAAGCGAATCCGCAATAGTGTCTGTTCGGAGATATTGCAACGCAAAGGGACCTGCCTCAGCACACTGTCAGTGGTGCCATGTGTTGCCTTCCTCGACGCATTGCGAGCCATGGGGAGGCCAGACGTTTGTTCGCTCGTGGCCTGGGCATCTGGGATGCATTGAGTTAGAGACGCCGGGTGCTTTCTGCGGGTAAGTGATGTCGTATGGTTATAGGGATGCGGACAAACGACCAGAAGTAGCAGTGACCCCGCAACGGGTGGTTGCCAAAGTGGGCCTCCGGCAGACAGACCGCAAACACCGCCCGGACCGCAGGTTTCATTTCGGTGGAGCCCAGCTTCAGCGATTGGGACGATGGGTCTGGGCATGAGGCGCTGGCACGGGGGGCTTGGATCAACTTCGCCGACTTCCGAACACGTTTTGCGCTAGCGCAAGTGTCAAGGCATGGTTCGGAAACATCTGCTCCAGCCATTGAGTCGCGACCTAGACATCTACTTGTAAGGTGTTCCGGTAGAGCGCCAGGATGGGAGCGACACGAATCGTTCGGCCAGGATGGCCAGGCGCTCCTGAGATGCCCTGATGTTCCACGCAGCTTCTCCCCTCTACGCCCTCTCAGCCCAGCCCTCCTTGACTGCAGTATCTGCAGTGCAGGTGGCTTGGCTCCATGACAGGCAACTCGATCTGCACAGCAGGCGTAAAGCAAGAGATACCCGTTTGAGACATGAAGGCCATTTCCCACGGCTGCAGAACCCTGCCGCTTGGGCAGTGCTGACGTCGTCAAGGTCCTCGCAGCGGCTTCTGGAGTTCCTACCTCCATGTGCTGATGGTGCACCCTGGCAGCATGTAGCCAGAGTAGCTGCACGCTTTGGACAACACGTCCATGTAGTCGATATGATATGAGTATAGACTATGACTTCTGCATGTCGCAGACTTGTTTTTGCCCTTTTTCCTTCTGCTGTGCCCTTTCTGTTTTGGGCCCTGATTGGTCCAGCAACTCCGAGACCTCTCGGTGTTTGACCCTTACGCCTGCAGGCGCAACCCGCTTGATCGGTATCTTTCTTGGCTTCAGTTCTGCTGCGTGGCCGCACAAGGGCGTCAGTCTGGGCAGGTAGCTCCATGGCGAGTGATGTGGCCAGATGTGGGGAGAGAAGTGTCAGGTATCCCAGTTTGCAGCCTGATGGAGAAGGTGGATATGGACCAGGCCGAGTCGCACCTCGGCTATTTGGCGCTCTGAGAGCCTCCTGACATATCCGTGTACCAGGCGTCTGTGAGAGGTCGAAGATTTGATCAGGCTCGGTCGTTGTAGAATATTGCAGACTCTTGTAGGCTTCGACCCCGCCAAGTTGCAAGAAGCTCCAAAAGGTACGAGCATGCCAGATTGATGGCGTCGTGTCGGGTAACTGCACCAGGTGGGATGTTCACTCGTGTACGACATCATGAGGTGAAGGCATGCGAGACCTGTGAAACTCTTGACTCTCTCGAAGAGGTCCCAAGGTCCAAGGTCTCACCGCAACTGCCTGCATGACTAACGTCTACGAAGTCTCTGCAATAGCACATGAATGCTGCTGCCGTTGTCTTTCGTCGGCTGGTGGCTAGGAAGATGCCACACTCCAGATCACAGCAGTGATGCTTTACCTCTGCAAGCCGGTCCCGGGCTGTGTGCTGACCATGCAAGGTACCGAGACTTCGTGGCCCGCTGCTTCAAGGACGGTTTCACTGGTTTTCAAGTTGTTCGGAGACAGCCTGTAAGATGCAGTGTTAATGGAGCACGAACGTGCTGCAGAGTCGATTGGGCTGCAAGACGCACGGGCAAGCTATGCTTGGCAGGAAGAGCCTCCCTCAGCCGAAAAGCAGACATAGTGGCCAGTTGGTTTTCTGCGTAATGCATCCGCAAAGACATGATGACACGTCAGGTAGTGAAGCCCTCCAGGAGAAAGTGTCAGAGTTCGTCGAGCTGGTTCTCGAGCCTGGCTTGACAAGATCTTCGTTCAGCAGCTTGGATACCCACTGTCCATCTTGCCTCTGACATCCTCTGACATTGAACGCATTCACCTCCGGAATGGCCTGCCTCGAAGACCCCTCCGTGTGAAACTTGAGGTATTCGCTCTCCTTTCCTCTTCCAAGACGATCGGCGTCAGTTTGTGCCTGGCTGCCGCCGTGCCACTTTAGGCTTGCCGGGGGTGCAAACTTGTTGTGCCGGGAGTGCTCGGGGTCTGGAGGTCGGTGGGGGTTGCACCAAGTCGTCGTATGAGAAGGTTATAGTCGGTGTTGGCAGGTATATGGCATGCTATCATGTGGCTGCTTTCCTTGCAGGGGTGCAGTGGGCTGGTTGGCCTAATGGAAACGCAGTCTCGCATCTTCGACCCAGCAACCCAAAATGCATCTGCCCAGCTGCAGGTTACCATGTTGCACAGGCCAGCAACTGTCTCGGCAGACACCTTGTGCGACTGGACTGCAGGATCTGGGCTTGGGAGAATCCCCGATGCACTGGCGAAGCTTCTTCAAGCAGGAACCCCCCCCCCCCCCCCCCCGCCTCTGGCGCGTTTGGTGCGATGGAATCTCGGGTTCTCAGCGCCGCTCCAAGGCCCGGCATCGGCCGAGCGGACGACTCCACAAAGTTGGAGGCCAGGCTCCACCGAAATGCGGGACAGTTTCACAGAAGCTCAGCGGCTCTGCTCCTTGTCAAGGAGGCCCTGTCGGTGCTGCACCGCTTCGATGTCGTGGCTTGGCTGTGACGCGTTCACCGGCTCTTGCCACAGGACAAGAAGGTCCTTGCTGCAAAGCGAGGTCGTTGACGTGTCCTTCGCGCCGAATGAGAGCGGCGTGCTTCTGCAAGACGCTTTTCGCAGGACCGAGACGGTTGAATTCTACTCGCTTGAGAACCACAGACAGGGCCCGGCCACACTCAGCTCGCTTTCGGAGCCAGGAACATCGCCTGCGGGGAGCGGTGTGCGGACCTGGCAGCATTGCCAGATTTGCGGGTTCCCAGGAGCAGACCAGGCAGGGGCTGGGCGCTAAACTAATCTCAGTGTGTTCTTTCGATCCGAAAACTTGTTGGTGCCAGATCCTGAAGACTCTGTGGCCACAGGCCTCGAGAGCATGCAGAGGATCGATCGTCCCAGTCCGGTCCTCGGCTTTGCTTTCAGCGTAGCATCTTCAGTTGCGGATTTTTAGTCAGAGCTTTTGATTGGGAGTCTGCGGGTTGTTCCTGGACTGTTCAAGTCTGTCCGAGATTATTCATCGACCAGGCGCCAGGGAGAAGACTTCGCTGCAGCTTTTGAACTGTTCTGGAATCGGACGAGTATGCTGCTGTTGCTGCGGTTGTTGCTCCCAGCAGCAGCACTAAGCGACATTTCGTTGCAGCAGCAATTGCTGCACCTCCTACTCCGTGCTCTTTTCGGCTGGACATCTTCTACAGTTTTCGCTTATGCTTGCACTACTGACTACTGTTCTTACTGCTGTGATTCCTCCGTCTCGCCTGGCGTGTGGCTATGACTGACAATGAGCACCCTTTCTATACTTTCTGCTGCTGCTGCTGCTGCTGCTGCTGCTGCTGCTGCTGCTGCTGCTAATGTAGAGGATAGTCCTGCGGCGGCCGCTGTCTGCGATCGCAGCTTCTGGCCACCATCACTGTTGCATTCGAGGCAGCTACCTGACTCCTTCGGCCAGAAAGCTGCCACGGCCCTGGTTCACGGGCTTCCACCTTTTGGGAGGTTTGCCATGCCTCCATTGAGACTCTACTGTACTTGTCCCTGTCTTTACCTCTGCTTTTGCCGCCTCCGCCTTTAACTGTTTCCATTTTTGGAGTGCGCCTGTCGGTTTGTATATGAATAGAGGCATACACGTGCAGCCTACGGCATACATACAAGATTTACAGCATACCATAGTGTACGAAAATATGACACGATGTATCAACATGGGATATTGCCATATGAAACGCTACAGCATAATACACCATGGCACAGCATGTGTACATATGTGTAATTTACCGATGAAGGAACTGACATGCGAGAACTGCAACAGAAATCAAGTATCCAGTCTTTAGCTAACCGAGAAGTAACATACATACATGTATGCACTCACAGGTGTTGCGCATATACTATATATGTACACATAGACGCACGTATGTTCCTGTGAAATGTGTATGTATGTCTACGTGTATAAGTTTATGTAGTATGTGTAATGGTACTCGTATGTGTATAAGCGTATGTATACATGCATACTAACATGTATACGTGTATATATGTATATATGTATACTCACATGCACATGTATGTATATATATATATATATAGAGATACATCTATATATATATATATATGTATGCCTGCATTGCATGTGTGAAATGGTAAGCCATGTTGCCAGGTAGCTGTGTGTTGCTTTAGCGTGTCATTCCGGAGCTGTGGCATTGACGATCCGCAGTGCCGAAGTCGGCCAGGCGACGTAGCCAGCTGCCACCACCAGACGACAATCCAGGATGGTTGTGCAAAGTCTGAAATTCTTGCGTGCATGCCGAACAGGATCAATCGTTAGCAGTTGCCAAAGCCAGGCACATCAAGCATGTGCACCCAGGCATTGACAAGGCCACGTTCCCGCGCCTACGTGCCCAAGTGATCGTTCAGGTGCAACCGCCGAGCAGCTGCCGCGACCATTCTGGCGACGTGCATGGTGCAGGTGTGGTTTACCCAAGCTTCAGGTGAACGTTTACACGGCCTCCGTCCGGAGGCACCTGAGGCACTGCACCAAGGCGCCAAAACATCGGACGCCAGGGGATTATGCTATTGCTTTGGCACGGGCCCTGCAGCTTCCGGGGCTCACTACGTACGGAAAGGGCCACAAGTACACCCAAGCTTCTGGGGCCACGTCTCAGCTTGCCCGGAGAGTCAAAATCAAGACACAAAGCGAGAGGCTGGAAAACCTGGTCCATGAGCTGCGAGTGTTACTTCGGGGAGAAGGGGGAGCCAAGCCGCGGCTCTTCTTCGCTTGCTCACGATGCTTCGGAGTTGTGTCGAGGCCTCATAAATTGCAGAAGTGGGGCGGCAGATGTTTCGAGGACCCTGTTCAGGAAAAGCGGCGAAGGCAGCTGGTGGCTAACGTTGACCTTTTCAGTCAATTTACACGTCGGAGCCGAGGTCACCTTAGCACCAGTTTGGAAACTTACGGCGCTGAGCGAGTCTTCGTGGCCGCCAAGCTTAGGTTTGCCACCAAGCAAGGCCCGGGCAAGGACTGGGTGAAAGACTTGACCGAGTCTGGAGATGTGGAGCCGAACCTCGGGCCGTCGAGTCCTTTTCACCAGTGGTCTGTCAACTGGGAGCGAGCATCTCTTCGAGACCACCGACCTGCTGGAGGCCCTACCGGTTAAGCAGCGGCTAGCTATCTGGAAACACGGACCTCGGCTTCTGCCCAAGCGACAGCCACCAAACGGCTTCAACAGCAAGGCTACAACACCTTCTGGTGCCAGGCCGTCGCTTATATCCTGTGCAGGCGAACCGCTGTGCTGCTTTGATATTCATAGCAAATACTGACAGCAAAGAGGGGCGGCTCGATAGCATCCAATTTTTTGGAAACGCTCTATCGAACCGCTGCGTTTTCCGACATTGAGGACAGCGAAGGGCGGTTCAATAGCGCCAAATTTTCTGAAGGGGTCCTTTCAGAAAATTTGGTGCTATCGAACCGCTGTGCTGCTGT